TATGTATGTATGTATGTATGTATGTATGTATGTATGTATGTATGTATGGTATTCAGCTTTGTTCGGGTATTTTCCCACGTCACTATTCACTCAAGTCCCGATAAAACTCTCGAAATCATCAAAAATAAATACCAACCACCCAAACACCTCATGGAACTAACAGAACACTGCTTAACCAACACATATTTCATATACACAGGACAAAGATACAAGCAAATCGAAGGAGCCCCTATGGGATCACCACTGTCACCCGTCATTGCAAACCTGTTCATGGAAGAATTCGAATCCAGAGCCCTAGCCAATGCCACCCACAAACCCAAACTATGGTTAAGATACATATTGATGACACATTAGTTATTTGGCCCCATGGAAAAGAAAACCTAAACAATTTCCTAACACACCTAAACAGCACACACCCCAAAATCAAGTTCACCATGGAAACGGAAACAAACAAACAACTACCATTCCTAGATGTATTAATCTACAAAAAAACAGGTGGCACACTAGGACACACCATATACCAGAAGAAAACACACACCAACCGCTACCTCAATGCCCAATCCCACTACCACCCAGCACAGATAAACTCCGTGGCCAAAACACTAATTGCCAGAACCAAATGCCTGGCAGACAAGACACACATAAAGACTGAACTATGCAGCCTGACTAAAATACTGACAGCCAACGGCTTCCACAAAAGCAAAATCATCGGCTTGATCCACAAAAACACACTGAGACATAATAGAGACCCAGAAGATGAACAGACCTATGGAACAGCTGTCCTGCCCTACATAAGAGGTACTACAGACAAAATTAGTAAGATACTACACAGACATCACATCAAGACTGCCTTCAAAACAGACAGAAAAATAGCAGCCATCCTCAGAAACCCCAAAGACAAAATTGACCTGGAAAACCAAGGCATATACGAAGTCCCCTGTGCATCATGCCCGGCCACATACATTGGACAGACCAATAGAAGAATAAGCACCCGCCTGGATGAACACAAAAATGCAGTCAAAAAGCTGGAACACACTTCCTCACTAGTCCAACACATGGAAGCCACAGGTCATAGCATCAACTTCAATGGCACCAAAACCCTAGCCACTATAGAAAATCCCAGCCACAGAATCATCAGAGAAGCCATAGAGATTGAAAAAAGACCAGAAAGCATGAACAGAAGAGATGATTCCACCAGGCTGTCAATCATTTGGAAGCCTGCACTCACAAACAAAAAAATCTCCACACCACAAGCCAGGCAAACACCTGGGCACAAACAGATCCCCCCTGATACCTCCAGCTCAAACACATCCCAACCAGGCACCCAGATGAAACCCAGCTTCCTAACTAATGATAGCCGTCCATTTACCCGAAGCCAAGCTGCACTAAAGACCTCCAATAAAGTAACACAATGCTGCCAGCCAATCAAGATACAAAAAGAGCCAAAAAACAGACAGAAGATATTAGAGACACCAATCAAGCAGAACACAGCAAACTCCGAGACCAATAAACACAGACCAAGACTCCCAACCAATCAGGATGAAGAAAAAACCATTCTGGCACAGCAATAGGCTGCCCCAAATTTAAATCTGAAACCACTGTAAAAGTCTGACTCACAGACGGACACAATACAGAAGCCTGATGATGGCAGATGAGATTCTGCTGAAACGTTGCTACAACTTTAAAAGCACAACTATAATGACGTGGGAAAATACCCGAACAAAGCTGAAGGCCATACATACATACATACATACATATATATATATAAATACACACACACACATATATATACATATATATACATATATGTGTGTGTGTGTATATATATACATATATACATATATACATATATACATACATACATACATACACACATACATACATATATACATATACATATATATATCTGCTTTATATATAAATTCTTCTATTCCCCAGTTATATACTTAGCATTAAATACAACTTGCTGACTTTACTACTAGGTCAATGCAAACCTTTCATTTGGAGATTAAACTTGATTCTCTAAATCAGCAACTCCATGCATGCTTTATAAAGAGTTCAGCATTCACATATTGTGAAACATTCCCATAGCTGTTTCCAAAGTATACACAATAAGCAGGAGATTTAACTTGCAGCCCTTGGAACACAAAAATATTTGCCTGGGATGTTAGAGAAAGGTTTTGCTAAACATAGCTGATATTTTCTGCTGAAGCAAAGATTGTACTAGAATAATTAAGTAGCTTTTAAAGTCTTGTATATCAGACTTTCTGAGAGCAATTAATTAGGTGCATATCTTTGTAAAAAATAAAATTTAAATATACTAAGAATTTCAAATTCATTGCATGGCATCATCCTGAGATTATTTCATGATTAGTGCTACCTGAAGACAATTATGGAGCTATAAGGTATTTGTACAGGCCCTTTGAATGTAGCTATGTTCATATCTTCTCTGGACATAGTTATTACAGTTGGTTGATGGCCAATTCTCAATGAAAAGAAGCAGTGACAAGCCTTGTTCATTGTGAAGTCATATTAATGCCACTTAAGCAAGTTCAAGTATTGCAGTCACTTTGTAAAAAAAATTTATTATAAATATATAATTTTCTGATGAATGATAAGTTGTACAACATGCTGCCTGGGTTTATTTCCAATGAATATTAATTCAGATTTTATTTTCTATTAGGAATGTAGATATATCAGTCCATGAACTCATCATCTGTCCATTCATCCTAAGTAAAACAAAATGAAATTAACCACATATTACAAAAGATTAAAACTCCCAACTTATTCCTAAATCAATTTTTTTCATGCATAAAGATTGGTCACAATAAGTATCCTGTTAGAGTGAGTTAAGTACACAAGCTTTGAAAAACACTCCTCTTAATTTATCAACAATCCTGATTACATAACAGATGTTTTTAATATCAAAAGGCAAATTTTATTCATATAAAGCAAATATGACAAGCCTATCATCAGCATTTTCAAATAAGTTACAACTATTACTGAACAACTTCAATACTGTAAGCAAAAATAAAGATGGAAGAATCTCAGTACACATAAATTTGGTTCTAGCATATCCAGATGTCCAACTGAAACAGGACATGAAAAGATTTTCACCTGAGTCAGAAAGATTAGAGCGAATGGTACAAAGATTTAATTCAATGAAAGGTAATTTCATCTTCTAAAAATATATGTAGTATATTAGGAATAAATTCTGATTGCTTAGTTTAAACCATGATTATCTTTAGCTCATGTTCTTCCAACATGTTTTGCATTTAATGTCACATTTATTTCAAAACCAAAAGTAAAATATATACTTCACTAATTTTTGCAATTTCAAATATAATACAGTATCAGATTCTAATTTTGACCTTGTTATTGTACTTAAAATTTAATTTAATATTTCTTTCACAAAGTTTGACAAGGTGGTACAAATATGAACTAGGTTTTTCCCTTAAATATTCTAATTTAGTATTATATTCAATGTTAAAATCATTTAGTTGTGTAACATGCAAATGTAAACTGGTTAACAATTACAGTGCTAATTTTAATTGTCTGCATATTCCTAATACTTTTAAATTTTGTAAATAAGGCAAAATTATTTTAATAATTTGGTAATATTTAGTTATCAATAGTGCTGGTTTATTGAGTAAAATAAGGTATAAATTTCTTAATATCTATAGTCCCATAAGCTGCTGTGCAAGGTATCTGGGAACTGCTCCTGCTCCTTTGATTCCATGATAATTTACCGTGTTTCTCATATAATAAGGCTGGGTCTTATTTTTTTTTGAGCCCCGAAAAAATGGCTAGGCTGTCTTTTCGGGGGTGACTTAATTCCCTCCCCTTGCATCTTCGGGCGGGCGGCGACAGCTTGGATGTTGACCTCAGCATTGGTGGGGCACTTCGTATCAGGGTCAATGCAGGCAGCACCATATCTGGGTGTGCAACAAAAGTACTTCCTAACAGCAAGCCCCCCAACCATTCCCCCCCATTTTGCATGTTTTAATATAGGCCTTAATTTGGGGGGAGGGGCTTAATTTCATTTCATGCCTATAAAACATGCTGGGACTTCCTATTGGGGGAGGCCATATTGTTGGAGAAACAGGGTATGTTTTACTTCTTTATCACATTTGTATAGTAGCCACCCATCTATTGTAGTGACTCTGGATGACACACATGATAAACAAAATACACTGCTCAAAAAAATAAAGGGAACACTTAAACAACACAATGTAATTCCAAGTCAATCACACTTCTGTGAAATCAAACTGTCCACTTAGGTAGCAACACTGATTGACAATCAATTTCACATGTTGTTGTGCAAATGGAATAGACAACAGGTGGAAAGCATAGGCAGTTAGCAAGACATCCCCAATAAAGGAGTGGTTCTGCAGGTGGTGACCACAGACCACTTCTCAGTTCCTATGCTTTCTGGCTGATGGTTTGGTCACATTTGAATGCTGGAGGTGCTTTCACTCTAGTGGTAGAATGAGACGGAGTCTACAACCCACACAAGTGGCTCAGGTAGTGCAGTTCATCCAGGATGGCACATCAATGCGAGCTGTGGCAAGGAGGTTTGTTGTGTCTGTCAGCGTAGTGTCCAGAACATGGAGGCGCTACCAGGAGACAGGCCAGGACATCAGGAGACGTGGAGGAGGCCGTAGGAGGGCAACAACCCAGCATCAGGACTGCTACCTCCGCCTTTGTGCAAGGTGGGACAGAAGGAGCACTGCCAGAGCCCTGCAAAATGACCTCCAGCAGGCCACAAATGGGCATGTGGCTCCTCAAACAGTCAGAAACAGACTCCATGAAGGTGGTATGAGGGCCCAACGTCCGCAGGTGGGGGTTGTGCTTACAGCCCAACACCGTGCAGGACGTTTGGCATTTGCCAGAGAACACCAAGATTGGCAAATTCGCCACTGGGCCCTATGCTCTTCACAGAGGAAAGCAGGTTCACACTGAGCACATGTGACAGACGTGACAGGGTCTGATGATGCTGTGGAGAACATTCTGCTGCCTGCAACATCCTCCAGCACGACCGGTTTGGCAGTGGGTCAGTAATGGTGTGGGGTGGCATTTCTTTAGGGGGCCGCACAGCCCTCCATGTGCTCACCAGAGGTAGCCTGACTGCCATTAGGTACCGAGATGAGATCCTCAGACCCCTTGTGAGACCATATGCTGGTGCGGTTGGCCCTGGGTTCCTCCTAATGCAAGACAATGCTAGACCTCATGTGGCTGGAGTGTGTCAGCAGTTCCTGCAAGACGAAGGCATTGATGCTATGGACTGGCCCGCCCGTTCCCCAGACCTGAATTCAATTGAGCACATCTGGGACATCATGTCTCACTCCATCCACCAAAGCCACGTTGCACCACACTGTCCAGGAGTTGGGGGATGCTTTAGTCCAGGTGTGGGAGGAGATCCCTCAAGAGACCATCCGCCACCTCATCAGGAGCATTCCCAGGCATTGTAGGGAGGTCATACAGGCACATGGAAGCCACACACACTACTGAGCCTCATTTTGATTTGTTTTAAGGACATTACATCAAAGTTGGATCAGCCTGTAGTGTTTTTTCCCACTTTAATTTTGAGTGTAACTCCAAATCCAGACCTCCATGGGTTGCTAAATTTGATTTCCATTGATAATTTTTGTGTGATTTTGTTGTCAGCATATTCAACTATGTAATGAACGAAGTATTTAATAAGAATATTTCATTCATTCAGATCTAGGATGTCTTATTTTTGTGTTCCCTTTATTTTTTTTGAGCAGTGTACAATAAAGCCACTAAAACCACAACTCAAACTAAAAAGTAGATAAAAAATAAAAAATATGGTGGCATATATTAAAGTGCTCTGAGGTGTCAGGTGGAAATTTTAATGAATGATCCCTAACATTTATAAATTCAATCTTTGCTTCATTTCTTATGAACTAAAGAAACCAATAAAAATTGATAAGAGGAACAAAATAGTGCATTACTTGTTTTAGTTTTTTAAAAAAACTGGTGAAAAAGTGATTCTTGACATGATACAGGTGCCATCTAAAAATAATGTGTTTTTGATTTAATAATACAGTTTAAATACAAATTTAATCTGGTGATATAAAACCTACTACTAACCTGCTCCATTCTAGATTTTTTCGAGATGAATTCATCACCTTCATAGCCTTTTCTTTTTTTCCTATCAAAAATCCCACAGCAGAAAAATGTTACAGGTTATTATTAAATTTATTCAATTCCATTTTTATATTTAAAAGAATGCAATAATTTAATTACTGTGTAGAATAGAGGTGTCCAACCTTTCCAGCTTTGCGGACTGGTGATTAGGAGAGGGATGGTTCCACACAAGCAATGGGTGCTCATGTGTACAGCTCCATTTATGCAAGTGACGGGTGTGCACACCCACAATTTGTGCAAATGTAGCTTTCCACGTGAGCGCCAGCCGCTCACACAAATGGAGCTGCATGTGCTCGCCTGCCACTTGCGCGGCCCAGAGTTTGGGGATCCCTGATGTTGAAGATTTATTCAATATCAAATGATTCTATTTCTAATCCTATCCTGCTCTGAGAGCCTGAAGACATGGCACTGCCGGTTGGCCTGGGGAACAAAATGGTGCAGTTTTACTGGTGTGGACTGATGGCAGACTCCATCTCCTTACCACTTGCTCTGCCCTCCACCCATCCATCTTTTAAGTTCTCAGATTATTCTCGTGTTCCTTTGTCATTGTTTATTTTATTGTTCTATTATTTTACTTCCAGTCTGTTTACGCTCCTTTCATTTTTCTTCCTTTTTATTATTGTAAGCCACCTAAAGTTGCCCCATAGCGAGATAGGAAGCAAATAAATGTAAAAAATAAATATAGCCATTCTTAGAAGAGGAGAGGGTAATTGAAGGATTCTATCTTTCCCAGGGATTAAAGACTCTGGAAAATCCAGAGGCTTTCTGCAGGTATGTAGCAATAAGAACTGAGAGTAACAAAAAAAGCACAGCAGGCTTGGGACACTTTCCCTCTGCAGTTAGGGCACATTTAACACTATAAATCTCTTAAAACTATAAATTTAAATTTATCTCTGAGGTAAATTGGAAATTTGTTAGACATATACTTTTGTATACCGGAATCAACTTCCATAAAAAACATGTTTTCCATTGATAGATTATAGAAAAAGTAATGCAAAAAAGACTGATGAAGTTGGAAAAATAATAAATTCAATAAATCAACCTTCAGATTAATAGGAATATTATTTTGCAATTTCTTTCTACTACATTTATGAAGCCTTCAGTAACAGATCATCTTAGGCTTTTGGTATCCAACTTAGCAAAAAAAAAAAAAAGTGTGTGTGTGTGGGGGGGGAAACGGGAGTATGAGAATGAGCATCCTCACCATTTCTATCTCTTGCCCCATCTACTGTTTGTTTCATTTTCTCCATCATGCAACCTCCAAAAAACTTGAGAGTATATAACCCACAGCAGAATAATTTAATCCAAAAGTGTTCTTTGAAAGTAAACTTTTTCTATTTATATAAATAATGCCTAGTACAGGAATGTGGCATTAAACAACTCCGTAAGTTCTAATGTTGTTAAATGAGGCTAAATAATGTTTTTATATAATATCCTTCATCTTCTCTTTATCCATGTTTATTGTATAACATAAACCTATCCCTCTTCAACCTTGCTGCATTAAAGTTTTTGCTAAGCAACATTATAATCCACGAAACGACTTTCATCGTATTATACATTTAAGCCCCAACTGAGGAATAAATACTAACAAACACCTTCAATAGCATCAATAGAGACAACCCTAGCCAGAAATTAGGCGATTAGAACAGAAGGAATTTAACAAAGCTTTAAACTATTACTTACATATTTGAATTAAGAGCAACTTCTGGACTGTGACATTTTTCTAGCTTCTGTTTTAAAATAGCAACTTCTTCAGGATGTGGTAGCTCATATTTTTTTACTAGATTTTTCATGCCTATACAAATGCAATAAACACTTATCAAAATAATATAAAAAATGAACTATTACGTTATTTACCAAAGCCAAAAACAGATCAGGAAATTCTAAGAAAACGAATGTGTTGGTTGAAAATCCTATCAGTCACAAAACAGTTTGCATTCTAAATAATTTTATATTTAGCCTATTTTCTTCTACAAAACTGATCAAAAGGCAACGACCGGGTTGGGGTGAGGGAAGTATTATGATAAAATAGCTGTAGGCAGACTTTATATGAGCCAAATGAAGCTAAATCTGAGGGACTTTAGGTTATTGTAATCTTATTCGAATGGAAATGCTTCAGATGTCAACTAAGGATTTCTCTAATTCCAAGATATATGTTGGAGGATATCAGATTAGGGAAGGTGAATCATTTCTTTTCTCAGTACAGACTTTATCTGAATATATGCAAGGAAGGCCACCTTGTGCCTAAGTAATTGTTTCTATTATTTAAATGTTCAAAAGTATTAAAACTGTTTTTAAAAGAAACACTTGGAACCTGCCTTCTTATGGCTGTTATTTAAAGTGCCACGTTTTAGGATGATGGAGAGCTAGTCCTGATTCTCTTCTCAAGCAACACTTCAATATCTAAAGAGTGCTATCAAAATTCTTTTTATCTCATTTCTTCAAATCATAGCATATTTAGCCAACTAGCCTTATAATCACTGAAGAAAATGAAGATAATGGCTCATGATATAATGTTGCTTTCAATATTGCTCAATCCCAAGCATAGGTCTCTGCAGCATACTAGATTCAAACAGAAACAGGATGTTTTGGAGAATTCAATGCATTCTCAAAATATTTGTCCACAGGACTTTAAGATAGCTCCATTATTTCCCTGGATTTTACTAATACTATACTAATTCCCATAGAGACACACACTGCTGGCATGCTACATATGCATCCATGAATAATTTGAAGCACCTTTTTCATTTTAGTATAATATAGATGGTAAAGTTGTTAGCTGAGAAAAAAATACCTTTCTCTCTCTGGCACAGGATGGATTAGACTGGCTCCCGATAGCCTGTTTGAGTGACCTGTGAAACTCATTCTGCCCCTTATTGTTCAAAACAAATTAAGCTTCTTGCCATCTTGAGGTGAGTAACAATTCCAGTAAAAAGAAAAAAAACTTTGCAGACTGCTCTCCAAACCTAGTCCTATTCTTGAATGATATGCCCCACCGCCAGATTTAATATAAATCCATGGGTAGCAAAAGGTTGCCCCTGTCTGTTGTGACATATGGCCAATGCCTCTTGCAAGGAAAGAAAGATAATAGTGATATTTCAAAAATTGCCTTCCTTTCCCATAATACATGTCCGTTTAGGTTGAGATCTCAATAAGATGCAATACAGAGCAGTTACTGATCATGGTTTCTTTCAGATTAAAAACAAATGTTTCATTGCTAAGAAATGTTTCAGCTTCTTTTACACATCCTTGGTTTAAATGTCCTGCTCTTTTGCCAATCAATCTTTATTATGGTCATAGACCAGCAAATAAAAGCATTAAAACAATAACAATAGCAAAAAAATAAAAAAGACAAGCAAAGTAATATATTGTGATTGGTAGTGGATTAACAGTAGGTTGTTAAAGTTTGCCTAATTTTACATACAGCTTAGCAGACTTTGGTGACCTTCAGAGAAATTACTTCATACCCATCTGATTAACAGTAGTTACATGTAAAAAAGATCAGTATTTCTCAGATGTTTTATTAGGTAAGATGCTATAAATTGAAACTATGAGTCTTTATAGATGGTGCAGTATAGCAAAACATGAGCTATAGTTTCATAGTTACTCTGGTTTCTCTTCAGATCGTATAAAATTTTCAGTCTTTTACCAAATTTAGCAATAGCACATAAGACTTATATACTGCTTCATAGTGGCTCACAGCCCTCTCTAAGCAGTTTACAATGTCGGCATATTGCCCACAACAATCTGGGTCCCCATTTTACCGACCTCGGAAGGATGGAAGATTAGGTCAATATTGAGCCAGTCAGGATCAAACTGTTGGCAATCAAAAGAATTAGCCTGCACTACTGCACTCTAACTACTATACTAACTACTGTACTCTATCTTTATTTTAATTGATATACATCATTTATTTTTATCAATGTCAAATATACAGTTAATTACACTAAAATTGTTATTTCATTGTTTTTAGTTTTCTGGAGTCTAATCATATAGTTAGCAATACAGTCGCAGAGAAAATGTTAGAGACCTAGGTATGTTTATACATCAATGGTTCAAAATACTGTATAAATCAACCAAAACAGAATCTAGTTAAGTCCTAAAGAAAAACATTAGTATAGTTGTTGACATTGTAATATCTCCTGGACACTCTGGAATCAGGCAACATAAAACTCAGTATCAAAACAGATAAAACAAACCTGTTAATGAGACTGTGCCAGTTAATATTACAGAAATCCATACAGCTACAAACATTTTATATAACAGGATATGAGGTGCTCTCTCAGCATGGTTGCTTTCTTGAAGAAATTTCATTACACAAACTAGGTAACATTATCAGTGCTACACTATCATCATCAGTGACTAGCACTGATACCTAGTTTGGGTAATGAAACATCTGCAAGAAAACAATCAAGGTCAGAGAGCACCAAGAACCCCTCATTTCAACCCTGAGTTACAAATATTCTTCTTTATTGATAACAGGATATTTTGTAAGACTTCAACTTTTCTATCCTACATGCTGACACAGGGAGTATAGTCTGAATAGTTTACTTGTCATTGCACCTCATACAACGAAATTAAATGCCATCTTCAGTGTACATCATACATAAGAAAACTATAAAAATAAAGCAAAAACATATGTCCTTCACAGTCTATACAACTGAATTGAAAACCCCTGATACATTAGTATGACACTATACAGTAGAATTCAATATAGTTATTGCCCTGGGATAGAAGCTGTTTTTCAGCCTATTTGTCCTTGTTTTTATTGTCCTGTACCATCTGCCAGATGGTAATAGTTCAAAAACAGGGTGTCAAGGATGAGATGGATCTTTGAGAATGTTTTGAACTTTCTTAAAGCAGCGGGAGCTATAAAGCTCTTCCAAAGAGGGGAGAGGGCAACCAATGATCCTCTGGACAGTGACATTAATCCTCTGGAGTGCTTTCCTATCTGCCACTGTGCAATTGGCAAACCATACAGAGGTTCAATAAGTTAAAATGCTCTATATAGTGCAGCGGTAGAAGGTCACCAGCAATTTTTCATTCAGTTGTTGTTTCCTGAGAAGTATCAGGTAGTATAATCTCTGCTGGGCCCTTTTGACCAGGGCTGCAATGTGAGCACCCCAAGTCAGGTCCTCTTTTATGTAGGAAAGAGGGAGTAAGAAAGATGGAAACAGACAAGATTGCAGCTCTTTTTGTTCTAAAATAATGGGTCCTTTTATTCAGTAAGAAATATCAAAAATAAACTTTTACAACTCATAAAACATATCAAATTCTTCACCTTTTCCTTTCTGAAGCATCAAGGATTTTTAAAATAAAAATGTAGGTAATGTTTGTCAACATCAATACTCACATTTCATTCCATCCAGCAACTGCGAAAGGGATGCTTTGTTATCTTTGAACATTAGGGTTCCTGACAAGTAACTATTAAAAATTTCAGAAAATTAACAAACAGCCAAAGAGAATTAAATTATATATCATAAAAAGAATGTGTCCTAACATTTCACGATAGGCAATGCCAGATATTTTAAGTATTTAAAATACAATTTATGTGCATGAAAGCAATTTTAAAAAAATAAAGTAATTTGTATTAGAATTAATTTCTTGTATTTCCACAAGTTTTTCCCTCTTTGTTTAAAACATTTATATAGCTGTCTTATACCAAACTCTGGGTGGCTGCCAATCAAGAAACCATATTAAAAATATTAAAACCAAATGCATCAAAAATAAAACTCTGGCACCAAATCAAGCTTCAGATATGCAGTCACCACATCTTATCCCAGCACTTGCGCTTCACAGGAGGTTAGGAAGGTAGAGACCTGCCAAATTTCAGGCAGAAGAGGTTTCCATGGGGCAGGGGCTGCCACAGAAAAGGCACTCTTCCTAGCTCACTTAATGTGTCAATGTTAAGGGAAGGGACTAAAAGCATACCCACCCTGTATAACCTGGTAGCATGTTTCCCTTTCCCTGGTGTTATTAGAGAAAGGCAGCCCTGCAGATAACTTGGGCAACTGCCATACAGGGATTTAAAGGTGAAAACCAGCACCTTAAATTGCACTCAGGAGGAAAGTGGAAGCCAGTGTAGCTGCCACAACAGAGGTACTATATGGGTAAAGCTAGGAGTACCCATCCTGAGCACAGTCATATTCTGGAACAGTTGAAGCTTTAGGGTGTTCCTCAAGGGCAGCCCCATCTAGCACATTGCAATAATTCAAATGGGAGGTACAATCTTCCATAAGCAGAACAATAACATTCAGACACAAATAGCAGAGATACATACATACATACATACATACATACATACATACATACATACATACTCACCTATTTTGACAGGCTAAAGCATTTTTAAAAGTTGTAAAAGTGATTATTCCGCAGAAAAATTCTACACACACTAGAATTAATGATTTACTGCTGCCAAACTCTTATATAAAGTTGCTCAAGTAATCAAATCAAAACCTGGAATTTGGGGTATATGTCTGACTGAATTGTTGTTCCAGCAGTTATCATTATTCTTGCCTTTTTTATAGCCTATATTTTTCCTACAGAAACAGAGGATACTTATGTGATTGCTTAAATATTCAGAAACTGCCTACCTTTCCATATTAAATCCTGCCCTGGATGCACTCGATACCATAGCAGTGAGAGCTATCTGAGAAGGTGTAAATAGAAGGCAGGCATCTGTCAATGATATTCGATTAAGAAAATCATCTGCTGTCTTCCTCAATATCTCAGGATTCTCAAGCAATTGATAACGGGTCTAGAAAATAAGTAACAGACAATAATACTTTGGAATAATATGTTGTTACAATTTCCTCCAAGCCAATATCCAAGACAAGTACCTTCAAATGAAAGGCACGTACTAAAAGGATTTCCCCATTTTCAAGCAATAATATAAAACAAACTAAACTAAACTAAAAAGCTTATTTATTCTGTGGTCTTTTTCACCCACTTCAGAATAATCGTATATAATACCAAGGTTTTCATGAATTGATTTGATAGTGATCAAAACTTGGAGCTTACAAAATCAAACCAAAAAGTCTTCCACAGTACCTTGTTCTTCAAAATAAAAAAAGCTCATAGATTTTTTAAGCTGATTATATCCAACCCTTTACCAAGATTTATCTTTACTGATATTTAAGGGTAGCAAAAAAAAAAAACACCTACATTTTTCTATATCTCATTACTCATAACTTTGATGTTCGTAAGTATTATATAGGTAATATCCTTATTTACAAAGAAATTAAGAATCCTGTCAAACATATATGAACATCTGCACAAACAATTCAACATTTCCAACCATCATGTTGGCACTCAGTTTTAAAAGCAATATTTTATTACAATTTTCAAAAAACTGAAGAAAGGGTTTTGAAATATGTGCAAAGAAAATCTAAGGTATTAAAGATGGGGTTATATAATTAACATTGATATCTATGTTCATAGTCTGCCCATTCATTTTTAAAATATATTAGCTTAAAAAGAGATACTCAGTAATTAACACTGTAAAAGTTTAAATATCTCTGTATTATTCATATAACAACATTTAATAAAATTATTGCAATCAATGTTTAACTTGGTAAGAAAAAAAGATACCTTCAAATCAATCAATAGCCCTTCAAATGGTCTGTATGGGTTATGTACTATAAGGTGGAAGTTCAGCTGCTGAATAAGAAGTAATTCATATTCCAAGATCTGTTCCAATGTTTTCTCCTGTCCTGCTGGGCTGTCTTGGAGGTTACTAACAAATTGTGCACTAGATACATTAAATTCATCTACTTTACAAGCCAAGAATGCACACGTTAACCTTAAAAGCAAAACACAAACATGTTACTGTAATGAAAGTATATGTACTTGAGACAATATAATTAATTTCAAGACCAAAAACATTTTCCTGAGAAACAGGCAGTTTTCACTTTGGAATATGAATATGAGCCCTACATATTCCTTGTCTCTTGTTAAAATTTCAAAAATATATAAACATTATTAATTTTAAGTGATATCAAAGCATAAATGGTTAAGAGTTACTCACATAATTATACGGGGATGATATTCCATTACTGAGTTATTGAGATAAAAACGTTTGAAATACATGCAGGCTGTACCCTAAAAGTACAAAAAAGTTGGAAAGTTCATTCAAATTGCTTGTTATAAACATAACAATAAATACAAGACACATTTTAAAATGCCAATGTAAAACTAAATAACATACTGCTCAGTTCTACACACATCTATTCAGAAAAAAATCAAATCAATAGAGTCAGAAAGGGAATTTATGAAACAAAGGATGCAGCCCTGAAATAGCTTATTACCTTATCAATGAAAAGTGCGTCTATTTTATGTATAAATTGGCCCAGGAGAATAAAATAGAATGTTTGCTCCAATCTACTTGGAAATACTAAAACATTTTTCTATTAAAGAGCAGAGTGCAGAAAAAACAATACTAGAATTCCCTTCTAAACAGAGTAGAATTCTTTATTGGCCAAGTGTGATTGGACACACAAGGAATTAGTCTTCGTTGCATATGCTCTCAGTGTACATAAAGAAAAAATATATTCGAGAATCAAAACATACAACACTTAGTCATAGGTTACTAATAAGTAATCAAATCATACTAGGAAACAAATAAAATATAAATTGTAAATATACAAGCAACACAGTTATAATCATAAGTGGGAAGAGATAGGTACTAGAAAGGATGAGAAAAGCAATAGTAATACAATCTTAGTAAATAATTTGACAGTGTTGTGGGAATTAGTTGTTTAGCAGAGTGATGGCATTCAGGAAAAACTGTCCTTGTGTCTAGTTGTTTTGGTGTACAATGCCCTATAATGTCGTTTTGAGGGTAGAAGTTGAAGCAATTTATGACCAGGATATGAGAGATCTGTAGATATTTTTACAGAAGAGCTGATTCCAGTATACTAAGAGAAAATGCTTTGTTTTATAGCTAGGAAAAAAATTAAAAATGAAACTCTGGTGCAAGTTTCAACAGCACACTAGATCAGTAATTCTGCCCTTCTCCAAGTCAAAAATGGTATACTTCACAAATACAATAAATACAAGTCTTCATTCCTATGATATCAGATAGGCTTATATTCTTCATAACTGTAGTTTTTCCAGAATTATGGGACTTGTTTGGTTGTCCCTACCACTGATCTGAGATGTGGTCTCCTATAGCAGAATTTAGCAGTATGGCAAGATAATTAGCTTTCCTGACAGTGTTTTGATCTTCAGTGCATTCTGCTGCATGTCTGCTGCATAACTCTTGCAGAAGCTGTTTGTCAAACTATTACAAATTGATTACAAATATTACAATATTATAAACTGATCTAACTGCTGCTCTGACATTTGATGTATATTTTCTTTCTCTTCCCACTTAACAAAATAAGGTGGACCAGGGTCTAAATGGAAATGAAGCCATCAATCACAGAGAACTAACCTTAAGGCAGTACTAATTACTTGGAAGAGAAACTGTTCTGCGTATCTTTTCAACATTTCAAATCAGCATTAATACTAATGTACAAAACTATTAACTGATGCTAATGTACAAAATAAAATATTTCTGCATATGGAAAACATTGAAATCCACATTAAATTTTGAAAAATGAAGAAAAGGATGATTAAAACTTACAGAGAATTAGCTATTTACATCCAACATAGCCATTTTTAAACTACAGGATATTATATGAACCCAGATGTGTGCTTAATTTATACTACTATGTCATGAGCATTAAAAAAATGGAATATTAAAACATGTGTAAAAAATTCAACTACTTACCATAACAGATTTGGGCATTACTGGCTTAAATACAGAGCAAAAGTCTGCTAATCTTTTTTCATAATATTTACAAATTATCAGCTCTTCATGTTGGTCAAGAAGAAACGAGTCTGTCTGTTGAACCTTATGAAAGAATAATACATATCTTAAATAGAAATCACAATTCACTAACACAGACTACAGCTATTAAGTGGAACCACTTAAGGCAGGGGTGCCAAACTCACATGGTACATGACGTATCAGGATTTTTCCCCCTTTGTTAAACCAGGTGTGGGCATGGCTAGCATATGACACATATGGCCCACAGGCTGGGAGTTTGAAAGCCCTGACTTAAGGCATAATCCTATACATGAGCTTTACTAACCTAGTACTGTTCACATGTGCAAGACTACCACTTCCATTATCCCCAAGCAGCTAAAGAAATTGAGAGTATAAATCTACATATTTGCACAGAAGGACTTTGGGAAACCATATAACAGTTAGAGAGGTCCTTGGTGCTCCCCGAACTTGGTTGTTTTCTTGCAGATGTTTCATTATCAAACTAGATAACATGAGTGCACCAATCAATTTCAGTGCATCAATATTCTCTATCAGTAACAGTTAGACTATAACTACTATACATGTTTATCCACTTAGTGGTCAACGCAATTGTAAAATAATGCACAGATATTATACTGTATCTTACTCCTACCAAGAGAAGTCTTACAACACCTGTTCACAGGGACATGACACACTGACTAAAACATTCCTTTCACTTATTCTTAAAGGAAAATAGAATCTATATAACAGTGTTTTCCAAACTTGGCAACTTTTAAGATGTGTGGAATTCAGTTCCCAGAATTCCCCAGCCAGCATATAAATTAGGGTTGGTATATACAGGCTATCCTAAATGAATGAGCACCCACTCAAAGTTACAGTAGTGCTGAATGAATGGTACTTGTAACAGCTCTTCACAGTTACAGCCGTTGCTGCATCCTCAGTGACATGGCCACAATTCCAGTGTTTAGCAACTGGCTCCCAATTATAACAGTATCATGTCCCAGATATGTGATGCCAGCTTCCAACAAGCAAAGGCAATGGGGAAGCCCGCAGGGTAGTAATCGCACGACAGTGGACACAGCAACCACGCGGGATTCACGTTCACCGGGACTGCCAACTGCCTCCATAAGTCGGTGTGCTCGCTTGACAGTGACACCCACGCATTATGATCGTGTTGTGGAGTGATAGGGGTTCCCAGCCCCAATTAACGTCGGTAAGCGAGGGCTACCTGTACCATTTTGACAAATCCAAAAGACCCAAGGCAAATGCAACGGAGAGCACGCTCGGGGGCTCCTTGACTCTTCTGCTCCCCCCCCCCCTCTTACCTTGCCATTGGCCACCGCTTTGCATCTGAACTTGCGGTTGGCGTCAGAGCGCCTGCGGACCAACTCCTCTTCGCTACGGAAAGTCCAGTAGCGCCTCTGCGTGCTGCTGTGGTACATCACAGCAACCGCCGCCGCTCTCGAACTTCGCCCGGCCGCCGCCTTTCAGACGAACCGCCTTCCTCAACTCCGGAAACTGCCAAACTCCCTGCGACGGGAATGGCCGCCTCCGGCCCCGCCCCCGTCCTTCTTGTTGTCGTCACAGTCGCCACCAATCCGCCCCAAGTTCCCGGCGTGCCTTGCGCCAAAAGGCGAGGATTTCCCAGCACGCCCTGAAATCTAAATTCGCGCGGTTTTCTCGCTGGGCTGTTGAGGGAGATAAGAAAAGGTGTAGTCGCTTTATAAGCTCGCACTTCCGGAAAGGTGCGTTAGAGAGAACGTGACTTTCTGAGGGGCAACCTAAGGAAGCCTTAGATTTGAGCAACGGCAAAAAAAAAAAAAAAAAGTAAATTCGCGGGCTCGCACTGTTTACTTTATACCACATGAGCTATTTCATTTTCCCGTCGTTTGCAAGCCGAACCTGCGTAATGAATTTTATTCGGTGCTCGGAAATTTTGTAACTTTATATATACCAGTATATTTCCAGTTGACTGAATGCGCCAATTTAGATTTACACTACAATTTATATATCGTGAGCATTTTTCTCAATTAAGTGTTAATCTAACTTGGCGCATGCTCTGATGTGGCTCGCCTGTATTTCTATTCAGTCAACTGGCAGCTCGGGATTTTTTTTTAAAAAAAGAGCGAGCCCTTAATAGAATAGCTGGCGAGAAATGCCGTCGAGCGCAGATACAGAGATAAAAAGTAAATAGCTGCTGCACGCCGCGCTATCCAGGACTACATTTCCTAGCTACAGCGAGAAAAAGGCTGCTGGAAAGCTGGGGCCTCCGTTTAGTTTTTCTTTTTCCGCCCGTAGATTCTTCTCGGATTCCTTCTTGTCGGTTTGGCTCTCGTGGGAAGAGGGGGGGGGGTCTCAATTAGCAATTCGCATTTTGGAAGCTCGAAGAAAGGGCACCGCAGTTAGATCCGATTCGAGCTTTCCCGGTTGCGAGAGATGGGAATGCAGCCCAACGAGGGCAGGCTGGGTCAACGGAAAGACTGCGTGGACGATCCGCCGAGCTTTGGCCTCCGGCGATCCAGTAGTATAGGATCTCGGCATTCCGCCGGATATGGCTGGAATGGAAATCTCGTTAAAAATTGCAGACCTCCTTGCCCTTGGAAGCCTCGGAAATGCCCGGCCGTACTGCAACAGCATGTCAGTCCCCCTGGGCGTAGCCTGCAAGGGAATAAAATAAACCCAGTTTCTCTGGATGGAAAAGGGCGCAGCTCTGAAGATCGGTTTGCCTAACTTGCTGTCTTCCGAACAAGGTTGAACTTCATTTCCCATAGTACCCGAGGCCGGCTCGAGAATTATGGGAGTTGAAGTGCAACGGATCAGGTGGGTCTCCGACTGGGGAAAGGATTCCTCCTATTGGATATGGTGTTGCGGAGAGAAAAGGATTTTGCAATGAGAACGCAGGTGTTTTTTTTCCTCATCATCGCGGGCAGTTGGATCCTAGTTTTTCTGATGGACTCAATGCCTGGGGAGACGGCTCCGAAAAGGATCTCACATCTCCAAAAGCCGTTTCATAGCCCTTTTTTATAAAAGAAATACTATGTAGTTGGACTACCAGTTCTCTACTATCAAACTTAGTACTAGGTTCCCACCAGGTGGGTTATTCTGCTGTAGGTAAATCTTTGAGCAATTTACAGGGACCGACAAGAATTTTTTGATTCATGATTTAATCCTTCTGAAGCAAAATTTTGCGATGCCTTAATCTTTTTTTCTATGCAGGTATAGAAAAGGTGACTTCATTAGAAGATGCCTCTGGCCGAATAGGTTTCGCTTACTTCGTTGATTAGAGCAGGATAACAGTCACCTACTCCCCCATAGATCTCTGATAGGCAATTTGTGCTGATTTGACGAAATATATATATATATTTTATCAACTCATCTTTGTATGCAGCTTTCGGAAGATGCAATCGTGCTGATCTCAGTCCCTGGAATAACTGCAAAAAATATAGATCTTTAGCCTTAAGTTGTTCATTTTCTCCAAAGCAAATGTTTAAAGGTAATGAAAGGCTTATTTATACCCATGCTGTGGTTAGTTGTTCCACCTCCTTACCTGCGAAGAAATAATTTCATTGCATCCAAGTTTTAACTTTTGGCTTGACTTCTATAAAGATCTAATATATAATACTTTGCCAGTTAGGAGGGGATAAATAGACATGAAAAAAGTTTAGGTTGTCTGACAAAAATAGTTACAATAGATAGTAATATTACTAGGGTAATGGTTCTGCAATATTGACAAAAACACATCCTGTTCCAGAATATAGAAATGTTAGCACCACAATTGCACTAATGATCAATACAAGTCAGAGGGTGAAAAGTCAGGCTAAGAGTTCAAGTTAAGCCAAGCTGAATAATATTATTGTATAAAGTAGGCCAGAAATGGGAAAGCTCTGGATGTAATTAAGAAAGCAAGTAGTCACAGGTTCTTCATACTTATATCAAATATATGGCATATCTAAGGTTGCAGATTTCTAATACAGAGGGAGAAGTTATCCATATGCTTTGTGTTTCTAGAAATACTATATCAGCAAATTAATGTTGATGATTTATTTAAATTGTTGCAAAAAGCAATAGTGATCTTGTTCAATGTTTTGAAAGCAGCAGTAACAAAAAAATATTTCATAAAGTTTATCAAGCCATTAATGGTGGAAGGGAATAATGCAAATAAATAAACCTCAGTACCTGTTTAATGGTACAGTTTTAATGGATGACTCAGAAAGATGCACCACTGAAAATTAAAACTGGAAACTGAAATGTGCTAGTTAATTATGAATGGCTCAATTGCCTGTTGTGCAAATTGTCCAGAGGCTAGAGAATTAGAAATGCAGTGTTAATTTTACAAGTATTGTAATCTCATTTTCATAACTAGCTGTAAAAGTTATTAATCAGTTGCTCTGGCCAGTCATGTGTAAACATTCTTAATCTATGAAGATGTTTTATTTTGCCATTAAGCATTACATGTCCTAGAATATTTGATCAGAATTATGAAAATGGTGGAACAGCAAAGCAAACTTGGAAGATAATGAAAATTATCCAATTACTTATCCCTTTAAAAACATACTACCTGAGTTATATAAAAATCTGCCAGAATTTTGCTGAGGTGTTTTTTTTAATAATGTATGTACTTCCTTGTTTCTTGTTTATTTCTTAAATAAGAATGTCTTGTTTCTCTTGCAGTAAGAGTATGAACCAGATATAGAGAAGCTGAATGGTTCTACAGAAACTGCTAAGTAACTACTCCCATCAGTTAGATCACTGGACATGTTGTCTTTTATTAACAAAAGCTGGAATTCAGGAATTGGCCAATTTAATCATCTACCTTTTATAAATGTGTTTTTAAAAAACTTCATTGCAGACTTAAACAAATGTGGTAAATTAAAGATGTTGTTGCTAGGGGTCTTTGAATCAATCTTAACTACTGGTGATTATACATCCATGCAGATCAATGCAGTTTTTCGAAGTGGTTTGCCTGTACTTTCAGTTTCCCATTCTAGGGCTAAAGAGCGACTGACTCAAAGACATCCGACTGGTTTCCATACCTAAGGAAAGACTAGGATATACAAATCCTCACTCTTAGCCTTGTTACGTTATATTAAACTGACTCTTTAAAGATAACTAATATCAAAACATGCCCTGAATGTAGCATGCACTCTGCAGTTAAACACCAGCATTCCAAGAAAGGTCTTTAAGACATGTATTAAGACCACTTCAGTTTCAAACATGTAGTAGTTGCTAGATTAGGAGTTCCACATATGTGTGCACCATCATTGATCTTTATGCCCACGCTGGGAGCATTTTTTAGCCAGAAGAATTGGAATAATAATTCCAGTTCTCAGAGATGGAAAGGCCCCATTCAAACTATGGTTTAGTATTTGAAATAATTAGGTGAGTTGATCTTTTCTATTCAAGGAGATAAAGTTAATCACTCCCAAAAATTAATTTGGGAGCGGAAAAGAATGGCTCTGATGTAGGGTCAATGGAAAAAAAGAATTGAGAGGGGAATTCAAAATATGCTCTGTCTTTTGATTTCTCAAAGACTTTGGCTCATAGTATACTTAATACCCCTTCATTGGATCATCAAGGTGATCTTCAGAAGACACTGGCAATGTTGCTTGCAGATTATTTTAATTCTACCGAGTACAGTAGCAGAGCCTGAAGTGGGAAGTAGTGAAAGGCTTAGGCTTTTTATTCTGGCAGTCCTGCTCATAATTGCTGTGCTCTGTCCCTGGTAGCAGATAAGGTTGGTTGCCATTGAAAGTGGTGGTGCCATAGGCATCTGTTCTTAGATGCAATGATTTAAGAGTGGGAACATCAAAATTCAAAGCTCACCCTTTCAAATCACATCCTAATGTATACAAATACATAAATCACAGCATTTGAGTCATGATATAATCACACATTTAATCACTAACCATGTCCATTATGGGTGCCTGTGGGTGATATTCATTGTGGCTCTTCAGATTCCATGATTTATGGCTCCAGATTGTTTACACTCCTGTTAAAAACCATACTTACTTCATACAGACTGGTGTACATATACACTGTTTCTACTTCTGACAGTTAAGGGATAGGCAAGAAGCTCTACTGCTGCTACCAAGGGCTTCGAAAAAAGCACAAAGTTACAAAAGAGGCCTCTAGTTCTTTCTACCATTCTGTTGATTTCATTGGTATTCATCTGAATGCTGAGTTGGAGCTAAGGAGACCCAGTTTAGATCCCTTTGTCTCTATGATAACTAATCTTGAAGATGTCAGTCTTTGTAAAGCTAACATTTTGCAGAACAGTTCTGAGAATTGTCTTCCTGAGAAGTAAAGGTATTAAAAGATGTGATATGGATTGAGATCCTTAGCATGCAGAAATGTGAACATCTGGTGTCAGATTCTGCATCATCCAGAAGTAAAATGAATAGATGTTGCTGTAATGATTCCTGTTAAAGACATGATTTAATGCTAAGCCAGTTTGCCTTTTTTTCCCTGAAGCAAGAATAGTGCTTGGTCTTTGAGTACCAAGACAAGGACCTCACTCCAAAAAGTAATGGTTGGACCAGTCTAAAGCAAAGATTGATGTCAAATTAT